CAGTTACTAACTTTCTGATTATCAACCTTATTGCCAGCTTTTGTTGCAGTGAGTAGCTGCATAGTAACTCAATATTTCAGATAAGAAGAAGTTTGTAAAGAGAGAAGCCAAAGATATGTAATGTGAGTCATTAGGATGCAGGTATGATGAAACATTCAAGGAAAAGCAGATATGAAAGAGCTTTTACCATGTGTGCAATACAGTGCACATCTTAATGAGTTTTGAAATATCTTTTCATTAGGAGTCTCTCCCAGTTTGAAGATGTAGTATGTCGCAAGTTTGGTTGTGGGAGGGTGAGGTCCTCCAAAGGGGACAGGACATCAACATATTAGCCAGAAAGAAACCACTGGGGTGTTTGTGAACTCTAGCAAACCAAATTATGCCACATTTTATCACTAAGAAATGATAAACTGGATACTTTATCAAATTAAATCTGATCCTTCACCCTGAATTTCAAAGTGCACTATTAGGAGGTGGGTCACAAGAATATTAAAAAGACTATTTTCCCTGCAGGTCAAGGTCAGCAGCAAGTTAAAGTAGCAGTCACAGAGTGCAAGCTGTGAGATATGTTTGAAGGCTATTGGATCATGTCCCTTCCTCAGCTCATGTATTATCAAGGCAAGATAGTCTGATATGTGCTGAAAATGGTGTAAAGTAAGCTTGAAACTACCAATCAAAATAAATACAAATAGAGATGACCTATTTCCAAAATATCCTGTTCACTCCTGCGGGTGAGATAATGGAAGAGATCGGAGCAAAATATTTCCTATTATAGAAAGGAAATAATCTTTACAAAATTGTCCCTCCCCTAGAGGCTGGCAGATGTGCAGTTTCTTTTGTGAGTTTGTCAATATTGCAAAACTACTTCATAAGCTGGGGAAGAAAAATAAAGCATCTCAGTGGTTGAGAGTGTGTGAGTACTTCAGTTGCAACTGCTGTTGTATTGGTCTATTCACATTTCAAAAGCTCTTTCATATCAGATATGGGTGCTAGTGCTTACATTAGAATTCAAACATTGTGAGTTAGAGGTGACTTTACATAGCTAAAGTCTAAATTTTCTGGCGCTGCTGGACAGGAATTAGTAATGATTACATCAGTTGAAAATAACTTCCAACTGTATGAAAGTATATACCCCTTCTGTCTTTTGAGCATGGGCCTAGCATTTTAAGAAAACAAAGTTTAGGTAATGATTGTTGGGTTGTTATTTGGGGGGAGGTTCTGTTTTTTTGTTGGTTTTTATTTTTCCAACTGCAGTCTCCCTGCTACTTTAAAAGCTATTATCTAATTTAGATCTAATATTACATGAGAGCACATGTATTAAAGATACCAAGTTCTGAGTGTTTTCTGAAAGAGTATCTGGAAAAAGTAACCACTATTAATGTCCCAGAGAGGGAAATGTGTTCACTTCACTTTTACCCTTCCAAGGGACAACAGTCAGCTTGCCAACATGTACACATGTAATTAAGACTTAACTGCAGTCCAGCCTCTTGCCCATCTCAAATAGGTAGGGAAGGCCTAAACAAAGGAAGGCTTATGGTTGTGAAAGAAGGTGACTCATGGCATGCAGTGGCTAGCGTACAAATTCAGAGGAAATCTGGCTTCATGAATCCTGTAGCTCTTGGAAAAATTTATTCAAACTTGGGATCTTTGGTGGTTGGAAACACAGCAGTGTTCTGACTTCCTACATGATGCTCACGCAAAGGTATTAATGCTGATACACTGCTTAACAAAAAAAAGCAGAGTATAAGCTCATGAAGAGCTCTTTCCCTTAAACAGAGAAGCATAAGATTCCAGATTTCATCTGTGAGATATGGACTAGTGCAAATGAGATGGGAAATCATATTGGGTTTTTTTCTCAGGAACAGGATTTTGTTGAAGGAACAGCTAGGTGTTCCATTATTCTTATACTAGAAATACATTAGGGACCCCTGGTGGCCTAGTGGTTAGCATACAGGACTCTCACCGCTACGACCCAGGTTCGAATCCCAGTCCCCCGGGCAGATGGAGCTCGTTAGCCCTGTGAGGCCATCCATCTATGAGAAGGTCACTCTAAACAAACCTACGTCCTGAGGACCTCACTGCCATTGTCCAAGCTTGCTTGGCCCCGGCAGATGAACCTTAGGATTAAAGGGTGGGCTCAGTTCAGCGCATGCTGTGTCTCACCTAAAAAATCCATTGCGCAGGCTGGAAAGGTAAAAAGACCTTTCCCAAAATCTTCGTTCGCGAAGACTGGTCATTATTATTTATTAGAAATACATTACAGCATCCTGATATTTGACTCCTTAGCTGAAAGAGGCCAACATTTCTAATATCAATATACTACACTAGGCTACTAAAATGCACAGAATCGTGATTTTGACTTTTAAAACCTTAAATATCTAAGTTTGGGTGTCTTTTTCACAAATTAAAGAGTTGCAATTAAGTTAACTAAAAATTTGTTACTCAAGATGAACAGGAATACTGTTGCACAGGCAAAGCCATATACCCAGAGGATTACAGCACACCATTCCAATTAACTAGGCTGCAATTTAGAGAGGCTTCTTTCTCACAAGTAAGACAACCCCCTTAGGAAGGAAACGGTGAAGCTAAATATGAAAAGATCAGAAGCAGTGAAACACTTCTAAAACCTTATTTTAAATGTCTTATTTCCCTTTGAAGGACCATGTGGGCAAATAGCTCTTCAGTACATGCACCTCAGAGGGGTTAGGTTTAAGATTCATGCTAGCTACCTAAAGTTGGAAAATACTTAGTGAAATTCTAAGTAATTTTAACTCACTTTTAATCATGTACCTTAATGTGGTGTAAATACTGGTAAAGCAAAAGTTCCAGAAACTTGGATATCTGTGGGTGTAGGCAGGAATCCAAAGCACAGTCTATCCATTTGAAATGTGAACTGTTGAATCAGATTAGAACTGAAGAGTTTGTGCACTCTTTGATATAGCAAAAAAATACTCATTTTTTTTAAGTACGTGGCAACAGCTGAAATATTTGGAAATCATAAATAAATTATGAGAAGTTAATTGATGTGACTGAATGTGACCCAGTTACCCCCACTACTTTGAGTATCCCATGGGCCTTGTAGAGATAGTATCAAGAAGGGGGCAAAAAGTTCTGCAGCACTTAATTCTCTACACTACTGTAAAACTTCAGTTAAACTTAGTTATGATGGTCTCCTCACATCTGGACAAAAGTGTTTTAAAAGCTCTTTCTTTAAATGTGAAGAATTGGGTACAGTAATAGCAGCCTGGAATGCAGCAGAACCTAACCTCTCCCTAACTAATCCTGCTGTTTTCTGACCTTGTCCTTCATGTATATTCAAAGACACCAAAGTCACATGCTTCAAAGTCAAGCCTTTTCAAGATCATGGTTTTTCCTGTGCACAGAACATGCCCTTCCTGCCTGGTGTGATCTGCACAAGGAGGTTCTCTGTAAAGCCATTATTATCTCAATTAACACCACTCCCTCCTGTCATTTAATATTTTAGTGATGTCTTACTCTGTTTATTGTTTTTAAGCTCTGTCTTCAGTTAAAGATCTAAAAATTATCAGGAAAGCAAGCAAATTCTCCAAAGAAAAGATATCTTTTAAAGATTGCCAAAATGCGGAAATGTGAATGAAACTTAGAAAACAAAGCACATAAATTAATGTATCATTGTCAGATTTTAGAGAGCTAAAATGTACTCTGCTATAATAAAATAAATAATTGTAATATTAGCTATTACCTAACATTGCTAATCTTCAGATCCCATTTACAGAGATGGTGGAATATGAGATGCTTTGGGGCAGACCACATAGGCAGGCAGGTGACACTGACTCCCTCACTGATGCCCTGCCAACTAAATCACGCTGCCCTTGTGCTTCTAACATTAACTAGTCATGCATTTAAACACTTGGGTTATGTTATTTATGTAACAGGTATGTAAATGGTGACAACTCTTACCATTTTATAAAAAGTCTCAAATAGTTAAATATTGCCTATATTAAAAACTCCAGCTGTTGCAATCAGATTCTTAGCTTATGGAAGTGGATTTCCTCAATGCAAAACTGAGCACCAGGGACTGTTTGAAAATGTCCAAGTAAAGAGATACTGGAAATCATGAATCTTTAATGAATAAAGCAGGTCTATTGGAAAGTCCAAGAATTCTCTATCTCATGACTGCAAACCAATGTTGGACTTTTAGGAGAAACTTTGGGCTTTTTGAATGTTTATAATTCAGCCCTCAGCAGCAAAGTTGATAAGGCACCTCATACATTTCCCTGGCTGTTGTTGCAGACCTCACTGGTGAGGTTGTGATTGGGGCTGGGACAAATGTTGTCTCTTGAGCCCATTTCTGGCTTTGCTGTTGGAACAGCGTGGGTATGACCATCCTGTGGAGCACAGAAGAAATGAGGATGCCCCAGATTGTCGTGCTGGACCCAGCCACTCCTGATGGTTCAGTCTTGATGCCAGTGCTACAGCCAAAGGTGTAGGCAGTGAGAAGCAACTTTGGGCAGGAGCTCAGGGTGAGAAGTTGCAGCACTTTGAGGACCAGTGTGGAAAGAGGAACTATGAGACAGATAATTGCCGGTTGCACAACTGAGACTTGAGTAAAGGTTTGGAGTCGCTGCCGTAGTGAATACGGTGAATACGGTCCTCACCTGAATGTCATTTCCTTATTGCCCACAGGATTCCCCTTTAAACTGCAGTGTCTCTGCCAGCCAGAGCAGCTGTGTGATGGGATAACTTCACATTTTATTAATAAACAGCTGAAGTAACTTTTTCTACACCAGTTACTGTTGCCGAGGTGCGCAGAGGACCCTTCAGCGAACCCCTCGATCTCCCGCTCCGGCTCCTGCTCCCCGTCCTGGGCAATGGGTCCGGCGGGAGCCGCGGCCCAGCCCGCCGAGCCTCGGAGGTGCGCTGGGCAGCGCCGCCGTGACGTCAGGGCGCGGTTGCCATGGGGACGCATGGGGTCGCACCTGACGGCTGTCGTGAAGCAGCGGGCGGAGGGCGAGGGGAGGAAGTAGGGGCAGCGCAGGCCCGGCCGGGCCCCGGGACTTGGCTCCGCGCCGCGCCCTCCGCTTTCGCCGCGCCGCAGCCGGAGTCTGAAGGAGGAGGCGGCGCTGCCGCCGCTGGATATGTAGGGGCCCTGGAGCGGGCGGATCCGGAGGCCGCTGTCTACCTCTGGAGCGCGGCGCCGGGGCCGGGCTCGGGCCCGGCGGGATGTTCTCCAAGAAGCCGCACGGGGACGTGCGGAAATCCACGCAGAAGGTGCTGGACACCCGCAAGGACCCGCTCACCCGTCTCAAGCACTTGCGTGTCCTCATCGGTGAGGCGACCGGGAAGGGGGAAGGGAGCGGGTTAGCGGGGGCCGCGGGTCCCGGCGCAGGCAGGACCGGGAACATGCAGGGTCCGGGCGCTGGGCCGGGAGGCGGGCCCGGGGCTCCGCTCCGGCCAGAGACCCCACCCGGCGGCCGGGTGCAGACCCCACGCCCCGCACGGCGGGGCCGCAGCAATGTGCCGGGGCCCCGGGATGCTCTGCTCCCGCTTTTCCACCGAGTACGGACATTTCCACCGCGTCTGAAGGTGAAATTCCTTTGGCGACTGTGGAAGGAGGCGAAAAACTGCTGTGCTTACACTGTGAATTATTCTCTAGAATACATAACTGCTGGTGCGCATGAATAGAAGTGGCTGATGCTGTGACTCCTTAATCCATCTCCCCTGCTTTCTTGCAGTAACAATTTATGTTTGTGTACGTTTTCAAGGTAAGACCTACAGCAGTAAGTGCTCACTCGAATTGATGTGGAGGAGCATCCATACAGGCAATCTGAAAACACAGTTGGTCAAGGAGGGTAGGCAAGCCCTTAAGTGCCTCTGCAATTCCATGGGAACAGCCACTGAACCTGGCCAGTGAATTGGAAATTGTAATTATGTGGAATAATTTCCTAAAAAAATTGTGGGAAAAAAACCCCTGAAGTTAACCGTTCCAAAATATCTGTTAGTTGCATATGTTTGTAAAATTCTAAGTAATTGTCATCAAGCTATCCTCGAAAAAAGAAGTTTGCTCCAGAGTGTCTTTTGGGCCCTTCAGTTCTGTAAATCCCTGCGTTTCTTCTGACAGTTTAACAACACATGAGCAGGGCTGGGTCAAGGGCAGCTGCATTCTGTGTTTAGTACAGAATGCTGAATGGATTATTTTGGGTTCTGTCCACAGTTTGGTGGTATTTATGTACCTTGTCCTCTGAAGCTGGATTCTTTCCTTTCAAAGGAAAATGGCTATTGCTCCCTTTTTTATATTGCTGTTTGAAGGAACAGGTGTTCCCATGTTGCACCATCTGCTGCTGCATGAGTTATTTTCTGCAACATAGTAATTATCTAGACTTGAAATGGAGAATAGTTGTGTAGCTAGCTGTCTAAGAGCTTGGATAGTCAGATGTCTCCTCTTGCCTCCCTATTAAATATACCACTCTTCCTAACAAGCCATACTGAGCCAGTGGTGGCTTGCTCTATGTTGATTTTAGCTGCTTTATCAGTTGAAATTTAAGAGAAAAAAGCATTCTGAAGAAACTAAGTACCTCTCTGAATTTAGGTTTCCTGGCTAAAGTACGTTGAATATTTCTAGTTTTGCTTTAGTCTGCAAAAGACTCTGAGTGATTTTGATCTGATCTGTTCTAGATTTGATATTTCTATTGCTTGCAATTTTTTTTATGTTTTTTCTTCAGCTTTCTTAATAATTGGATACATTGTGTAAGATGAAAGCCATGAACTTGGTGTCAAGCAGACATTCTTATTTAATCTAAGGTTTCTGTTTACTGCCTGTAAGACAGACTAAATCTGCTGGGGATATTTTCATATGATGCCCCACCCTCCATGTGTATATCTCATCTGTTGAAGCACAGCTCCCACACTATCTCCAAGTTTGGGAGAACACAGTGTGTGACTATGTAAGTAGGGAAAAGTGTACTCTTAGTTTGTTTGTTTTGGATACATCTACAAGATTTTGTCATTATGCAGATATTCTTGGGTGCGTGAGGTACAAAAACAAGGTCTTTTTTAGGGCAGGGGAATAAGGTATTTCTATACGCATTCCTACTGTAGTGCAAGACAAGTGTATAGCAGATTATTTGAAGTTTGTCTTTGCTGTGATCACCTCCTTGCTTTTTTCCTTGAATTTCGCTACTGCCTAAAGTGGCTTCCAAAACATAAGCTCTATGCCCTTTCTTCTCCAATTGTTTCTTTGACTAATCTGCAGGACCAGATTAAAAAAATTAAAGTGTTTTTATAAGATAGAACTTCTGCCTGAGGTGGCTTCTTACACAGGCACCGTCCTGCAGCTTGAGCGGCATAGTGCTGTGTATCATTTTTTCCTCAGTGACAACTCCCCCACCATAATAATTGCCATGTTTCCATGTATTCAGGGGAGCCAAGTTAGCTACTGGCAAAGACTATCTGAGGGGATGAAGGAGGAAATCTCAGTTCACCATCTTCATGAATAAAAAATAATTTTTGTTTATCTCTGTTAGCCCCTGCACATTGGAGACTAAAAGACTATCCAGAAGAGAATTTTCTGCAGTTTCACATCCAGGAGAAGGAGAGAATTTTCTCTTGTTCTTTAACTTACAGTCCTTTCAGTAGGCCTGCAAGGTGTATCGGACCAGAGCTCTTTTTATTTTTCTGCACTCTTTAGTCCTTGGTTCAGCAACTATAAACAGGCATGGCCTTGGATTCATAGTTAAGACTTGAAGGGAGGAAAGGGAGTATTAGTTCATTTTCTCTCTAATTTATCAAGACATCCAAAGCAGCAGTTCTCAACTAAGCCAAAATAATGGACTAGTCATGAAAAGAAGTGAGTACTTGTAAATTAGCCAAAGAGGAGAAATCTAAAAAATTTAATTATGATAAAAGATTGAGAGTCGCATCATGCAAGGCAATAGTGCTAGTCAGGAATTGTATAAAAATATTTACGATAGTATAATGTCATTGTTAGTAAGGACCAGAAGAGACTGAACAATATTAAAGTACCTAATATGAAGCTAAGTAAATAGATAGCACAAAGGCTGTGACATTTATTTTTATCAAATTAAAAGTAGTGTACATTAAATGGAATTTTTTTAATTCCATCTTTTACAAGATAGCTTAGCATGCAGTGAGTTATATTCCTCTAGGAAAAGGTATCCTGTCATTGGTGACAACTTGGTTTAAATTTTGTAAAAGATGCAGATTACCTGCATAAGGATATATAGAAAATTTTGTGTCTTCATAAAACAGTGATGTACCATTATACCAAATACAATTGTAGCTTTAGGAGTCTTCTTGCTACAGTCAGTATATGGAAGATTTAGGTATGAGAATGACTCATATGAGAGCAAAACTTTAATGTGGAAAGATATTGAAAGTTTTAAAATCCCTTTCTGTAGGGACAGATAGTGAAAAAGATGTAAACACATATGAAAAAACTAGGAAAACTGATTTTGAAATTATGAGTTACAGTAAAATATTTTTGTCTTGGGAAGCTCTTGAGTGCTAGGCTAGCAATCAGGTATAGGCATACTAGGGAAAAATGCATTTGTTGTGGTTTGGTTTTGTTTTTGTTTTTATGTTTTCTTTTTTTTTCCCCTGAAACTGTTTTGTAGATAACTGCTCTTTGCCACTTCAGTGTCCTGTCTCTGTTTGGTTCTCTGATCTGCTTTAATTTGGCTCTGTTCATCTTTTTTTGTAATTCAGGAACTGAAGAAAATTCTGTGAAATTCAGGGGACTAATTAAGAATTAATTAAATGATATGTTAAAGTAAATGTAATATGTGACAAATTTATGCATGTCACAGGTGTAAGGTTTTTTTAGTAGAGGTTAAAGCCTTTAAGAGACCTTCAAGTAATATTATTGTTGCTAAGAAACACTAAAAATTGGAAAGAGATTGAAGTCTCATATCTTGGGACTTAGCAGTCTGTGCATGAAGGTAATCTGCTTTTCATTGTTATCCTGCTGCAGTATATTTCTTGGAACAATTGGAACTATCTGCTTTAATAGATTTTATTCTTTTGAGGTGTATTGGTTTCCTCCCATAGGGAAGTGTTTACCCCACCACACTCCTTTTGGTTTTTTTCTTCTCACTTCTAAGAAGTAGCTTTGAATCTCATACAGTTTCATGATGCTGACTTGGTCAGTGTGTGACTTTTTATCAAATTGTGCTACTGTCTTGTTTCTCTATGGTGGAAATGCTGTAACAGTTGTGTTTACTGTTTGTGCCTGTGGTAGTTAGAGTATATAGACCTTGAACGGGAATGTCGAACGGGTTTCCCTTGCAGTCTATATGGCAGGGGCTCAGCCTTTTCAGAAGGGAGGCTTTGCTGTAAGGAAGGCTGCCAGCCGCTGTTAGTGCAGGTGATCACTGAGAATTCTCCTGCAGATGAAAGGGGAGGCACATTGTGCACCTTATGAGATAAGGTATTGCCTGTGGAATGAAACCTGTGATTTTCCAGAAAATATATTTATTTTTAGCAGTCCTCAGTCAATTAGCAGCTAATTGCAATTTTGGGGATAATTAAAAAGAACTAACATGGAAATAATATTGCATTTTTCTTATAATGTGGCACTGTTTAATCAGACTTCAACATCAAACAAAAATTTTATGATTTTAAAATGGTAGTTTATAAAAGTTTTTTCTAGTAATCTTTCAAGCATCAAATCTTAGTTGATATGTCCTATTGTTAAAACACTGCTGTGAGCATTCTGTAAATAATTAAGGCAACTAGATATGTGACCCTTTCATAAGATCTTACCTTAACAATATTGACTTTTTGTTTTGATATCAAATATGTTGATGCTACCTGTTGAATTTGTCAGAATGTGTAAATATATGTATTTTTTTAAAAAAAGCTAAAACCTCTGAATATTTAATGATTTCTATGTAATCTTACTGTGTGCAAGTAAGTAAAATGAACTTACTTGGCTTAAAATTTACCTATAGAGCTGAATTCTTAAGATAATTATTTTCTTGTTGGGTTGGGTTGTGTTCCCCTCCCTTTTCACATTTTTGTAGAGGAGAAATTACAGGCCTGTAATCTGTTAATCCAGAACAAAGAAAAAAGGAAATATACTGCTTCTCATCAATTATTTTATTTGTATCTGATATCTCTATACTGCTTTTATCTCTGGAACCATGGAGAGAATACTTGTAAAATGGAACACTAAAAGAACTGAGTATCTAAAGTGTGGGGTGGTTTTTTTATTATTTTGGTTTTTATATTCTTGGTGGTTAGTTAGTGCTTTACGTCTCATGTAAGCAATCTCCGAAGGGGAAAAGTCAAGCTATACTGAACAGAATGAAA